GGTCTGGGTAAAGAAGCTGTGGAGGTGGCTATTGGTGCGGGTCTTTAGGGCTCTCTGCTTAGATGGAAACCGCTAGAAGAGAGAGTGACCAGAGTGTGAGGGGTTAGCCAAGATTTTCCCTGCCTTCTTCCTCATCCTACATGAGTAAAGAATATATTTGTGCAAAACAGAATATGTCAGAAATGTCACTGAAGATGCCCCCATCTGACCACCTTAGCTTCAGGATCTACAGCTGTTCCTTTGAATCTCCTGATTCAGTGACTCTTTCTGCCTCACTCAGGCAGATGTGAGTGCATCTCCTATAGAACCTTTCAGTGTTAGGTATTCTTTACCAAAGGACTGTATGTCTTGTACTGTCAATTCAAATACATAAATGTAGAGAAGATCTAACACAAAAACCTATATTACCAGAATAATCTTACTTAATAATCAGGTTATTCAGCATACTTTCTATCGTTAATGTGATTTTTCTATATCTATGCATGTCACCAGCGCCCCCCCCCCAGTTTGTCAATCAAGGGACCACCATAGGACCATAACAGACCAGATATTATTTTGTTGCTGGACCATTCTCAGCATAGCAGTGATGCTGACTTGGTAATGGCATAAGGGTGTAAAAAGAAAAGAATGTTTGAAGCTGCATTTGAATATGTTCCTTGCCACACACTCTCAATGAGCTGAATGCCAAGTGGTGCTCCCATTGGCCTAACGACTCCTGGGTCCCATCATACTGAAAATAGCCTCCATCTCCTTCATACTAAGAAGTTGCTTGACACCCAGATAGGCCATGAATATTACATTGTCTTTGAGGGACCTGCTTGTGCTCAGAACTAAAAGAATTGGCCTTGGGATCAGTATTTATTAAAAACTGTCTTGAATATGGAAAAATATTTCTTTTGGCAGTAGAACTTTGCATGTCAAATGAGGAACAAACGAGGCGTGACAATCTGACAAGTTTTCAGTGCAGAAACAACGCAATGCACTATGAAATAATTAAATTTATGGTAATGAATGAAGGTGATAAGGGAGACCAAAGTTTGCTCTAGTGTTGTTTTAATGCATTTTTGATACAAATTACATTGCACAATCGATTTGATCAGTAGCATCAGTCGGGCATCTCAGTTACATGTAAAACTCATTATTGTTTAATGGAACTGATTTCTTTATTGTTTGAGTTCTGCTAATTTGTTTGTGATTCACAATTTGTCCTCAGGTTAGCAACCAGAATGACTTTCAGGAGCATCAATAATAAATTAGTGCACTAGCAGTAGGTGAGGAGTATATCATGCATGACAAATAGTTTTCTTCATTGCAGCCTTTGTGAAGAATCAGTATTCATAGTAACAAAATGCCAGAATGCCACTGAAATTGCCCACATCTCACATCTTCAGGATCCAAAGCTGTTTCTCAGAATTTCCTGGTGCAGGGAGTAGCTTTGCTGATAGTAGCTTCTTTTGTCTCAACAGAACCAATTATAGTTGCTAAAGGCTGCATATATTCTTTTATATTCTAGTTTATTTAATAATGTTGAGCTTAATGTCTTGCTTGTGCAAATGGGTGCTGCTATTTCAGAACCTCACTGTTGGTGATGTGAGCTGTATATCTCATGTGGTCCGATCACAAAGCTTTATGTAAATGCACAGGAATCCCACCTCAATTATGAGACTGCAGTTTATTCTAGAGCTTCAACTGTCAACTGGCGCGTTAAAATTAAAAAGCAGCGGACATATCGCTTATTTAAATTCTAAGCTTGGTTCTTGTTGAAACCTGGAATCCTAAGAAGCAAGGTTAAGCTTAAGGCTGCTCACAAGTAATCCATAATAAATGGTATTGTTGTAATTCTCATAATATTATGCTGAAAAAGGCCTTAATTTCATGGTCAAGAAAATGGTGGCTTGAATGTTTCTCTCTGAGGGGGTCTGTGATAGTTTTTCATCCCTCATACCAAACAGAGTTAAACTCACATGATTGATACATGCACTGATGGTGACTGCCAGCCCAGATGAACCCCTCCACCAAGTACAACTGCAGTTTTATTAGAACAACATAACTCAGTACATATGCGCCTGTAACATACATGTATTTGCTTCACGATACCAGAACTACTCATAGACTCCATGCAAATGTGGTCCAATTGTAACAAAACATTAATAATGCATAAGAATTTCATGACATGGAGAAGCAGTGTGGAGACATAAAGAAAGAGTGACCTAAAGAATTTCACAGTTTATGGTAACTGAATTTGCAAACACCAGTAATGTAGCTGCGTAGGTATTCTGCTCAGTTTGTTGTAGAATGACCAGTACTGGAACTAAGGTGGCACAGAAGCATAGAAAATTTTGTGTAATCAGTAAATTCAAGGTAAAGTGCAATAAGTCTGTTAGAAGTGCAACACATTTCTGTCTAATAACATCTAGCACTGGATGCACTAGTGGAACATGCTGTTTTGAACACCACACCACACAGCTGGGTTATCAATTTTTAGAGTTGTGGACAGAGTTAGGCACTGAATATACTGTTCTAAATGTATTCGGTACTGTATTCCATTTCAATGCATAAAGAGTAACATATTCAGAATACATTTCGCATACCTTTATAATACATATTGCTAAATTGATAAAGCACATAGGAAAAACTGGAAAAAGCTGTTGTAATTTTTATTTAATTCACACTTCTTTAGTGTTACTAATGTTATTGTTTTTGTGTCTTGTTGCCTGCTTTAGTCCACTACTGCTCCCATAATCCCACTGCTGTCTTGTGAACTAAGCAAACAATTTGCCATGTCCCAATAACCAAAACTAGCATATTCAACTATAAAGTAGGTAGCTATGTCATTTACAGCTGATGGCATGTACGTAATTTGGCACGAAATGCATGCACGGGTCCAATATAACACATTTGCTAAACTATGTCCACTACTAAAAAGACTGCTGTGTTCAGTCATCTGTCAAAAGAGCTAAGATTAATAACTGACTAATTTATCAGTCTACTCAGGCTTTAGCGGGAATTTCCAGTGTTTGCAAAGAGATGAAATTCTTCTTCAGAGTACATCTTTACATGCCATGCACTGATTTTAAAATAAATAACAAACAGGCATTGATGGTATTTTTTTTTAAGATGGTACATATATTTTTAATTTAATAGGTAACTATTCTATAAGTATTCTCCTAAAGTATGACCTCTAGATAGTGTCATTGCAGTCATCTACATTTTCCATCAAATAAACTTCTTTGCAGTCTTAATTTACACTGTGGATAGGCAAAACTACTCACTTTTTATCTGAAACCAAGTGATACAAAGGCAAACATTAATACTGGTAAACCAATTACTGTGCTTTTAAAGGGTCCATATCCTACATTTTTCTTGCATTTTGCTTTTTTTCCTCCTGAGGACCACTTATAACATTTGTGTGCTTTAATTTCTTTTTTACATGACCATTTTCCAGAGTTTGCCTGTTCTCCCCGTGTCTGCGTGGGTTTCCTCCGGGTACTCTGGTTTCCTCCCACAGCCCAAAAACATGCAGTCAGGCTGATTGGACATGCTAAATTGCCCCTAGGTGTGAGTGAGTGTGTGAATGTGTATGTCTGTTTGTCTGCCCTGCGATGGACTGGCGACCTGTCCAGGGTGTATCCTGCCTTCCGCCCAATGACAGCTGGGATAGGCTCCAGCACCCCACCGCGACCCAGAAGGATAAGTGGTTTAGATGATGGATGGATGGATGATCATTTACCAACTTTACCCCTTAGAATGAAATGGCTGATTTTGCTGCTGTGCCCTTAAGACTGATATCTCAACAAGCTCTGTTCTGATTGGCTGCCCTCGTATTGCGCCTAAATCAAAAACAGCCCAGGCTGGAACACTTCTTATAACTTCACTGTGAATGGGCAGGGCTAAACTGCTGTAGGCTGAATAAGCAGATACATGTAAATGCATTGTTTTTTGTGACTTGAAAAGTCAAAAACAGTTTAAAACAGGCCGTTTTTACAGGTTAGTTTTCATATATGGACTGTATGGACTGGGGAGTGAATGGTATGCTTTGAAACAATAGCAATGTTTTCACACTACATCAAACCCTTTTAATTAAAAAGGGAGCTATATTTGTTTTTCTATGATATGGGCCCTTTAAAACCTAACCCATCCCTTATAAAAGTAGCTATACCTCTCTTTTTCCTACCAAATGCGGTTCCCAATCCTAGTGCTACACTCTTAAAAAAATGGTTCTTTAAGGGTTCTTTAGTAAAAAAAAGATTCTATATAGAACCATGAAGACTCACAGAACCCTTTGCATAATAAAAGCGTTCTTTGCATCGTAAAATGGTTCTTCAGACTGTGTAGATGATTCTATATAGAACCTTTTTGAAAAGGGTTCTATAAAGCACCAAAAAGGGTTCTGATGTAGTGTTACGATGTCAAGCTTGTAAGAATAGAACCCTTTTTGATGCTGTATAGAACCCTTTTCAAAAAGGTTCTATGTAGAACTATCTACAGCACATTTTCCATCAATCTGATGAACCCCTTAATCATGCAAAGGTTTCTTTGAGTGTTGTTGCTAAAGAACCATTGAAGAACCTTCTTTTTTTAGAGTGTACTTTGCTCGTAAAATCTGGTGCCAAATTTTTTGCTATAGTGATATAACCAAGCTGGTCAGTTAGTGATCAAATAAAAACTGAATAAAGCTTTTATGTGAAATGTGACAGTTAATATGCTGCAAATTAATGAGTATGTCATGTCGCATATTTTACCCCACCCAGTTCAGAATATATATTTGCTGAGCACTTCACTGCTTTCTTCTCAAGTGTTTTTTATCCTTGCTTTTGCTTCTTTGTTTTTTATTGCTGTTGTCTGTCCTTACATGATTCACATATGAAGTTGTTTGTTCAGCAGTGCAAAAACTAATGCCTGTAGAACACTGCCTGTTGTGTCAACCAACCCCAGATTAACACTGCAAGGCTGGTGGTGTATTTTAACAGGCTAATCCACTCTACGAAACCAGGCTGTACCTTTTGAGGAGGGGTCTTCCAATTTACCTTCCAGTTTTCATGTGAGAGAAAAGATGGTTCAACCACAGGAAGATGGCCTATAATAAACATAATTGGCCCATATTAAACAGCCCAAATCAACCTCTTGTACAGTACGCACTAAACTGAGCATTTAGACATTTTCTTCAGTTTCTCAAAACAGAAACTGGTCTAGGGCACTACCTAATTTCTCTTCCTTTGCTTTATGGTGGTCAGTAGTCATGAATTTAGGTTGTTGCTGTCTAGTAATCCCTTGCAGAGCATTTTCAAGCTTCAGCAATATTAACTTTCGAAGTGACACTGTTAAATATTGTGGCATCAACATAGAAGAACACAAAGAAAATCGTTCACACAAACCACACATTTGCACATTTAACAACAAACGTCTCTCCTATCATGAACATGGCGCTTCCCACGAGCCTCCTCGCATGGCCTCTCTGCATGGCCACGCCTCCTGTGCTTTCACGGCCAGTATTGAGATGCTACAATATTAACATTTCACTGTGTGTTTTAGAAGCATAGCCACTCAGGAATTTGAGTCAAAAATACAAAACAGAAATAATATAAACCTCAATGAGTTTTCATCAGCTATAATGTGTATGATCAGATATTTTCATTATTCTGGATGATTTTCTGTAGGTAAATGATCCATAACTGCCAACATGTGAGTATGTAAGCTGTTGTGTGCCTCGCTTCTCCCTCTAGATTGTGGGTGCCCAAACCTTTTGTCTTGGGGGGGCATATTTGTGATGGGCCATGGGCAAAAAAATAAATAAAACCAAAACAGTACATAAACAAAGAAGGACCGTAGGTTACGTTTAATTTGGGGTGGCTAAATGTTTTTACACCATATTTCGGAAATAAATAATTTTAAAATAATATTTAGTGTTTTCTCATGTAACTTTCTGGTGGGCCAAATCAAATGTCCTCATGGGCCAACTTTGGGCAAGTCTGCTTTTGATAAAAAAGGCATTTTTCCCTTTTTAATCTTTTCTGGGGCCGCAGCTGACTTGCACACGGGCTCCACAGCCATGAATTCACTTTAGTGAAAAACACACATATTCAGTAAAACAGTGAAGGTTTTTGAAACTCACTAAGTTTGTTATTCAGTAGACGTGGTAACCACACATTACTTACATATAATGTAAAGAGTGGCTGTATCTCTTTTCGGACAGCGTCTAGCTAAAAAAGGACCTTAGGTAACATGGTTCAACTCGACCCTCAACCCAAACCTCACTCACAGCACACGGACGGTAGGGGCAGGCCTGCGCCTTCACTCCCTCCCATGCGCCGTGACGTCAAGCTCGACGACAACAACAAAACACAGCAGCAGCAGTAACAGCAGACTGAAGGGTGTTAGCTTAGCACAACTAGCTTCGCGGTTGTAAATAGGGTTACACAATATATCTTGCGCGCAGGGATCGGCGACAAGACGAACAGCGATTCAGTGAGAATCGTGACTATAAGTTAAGATGGACCACGGTTTAAACAAATAGTAGCTGCCCTTTATGGATTTGGGTTGCACCTGTGTGAAAAAGCCCCCGGTGTGTTATACAGCTAAGCTAATTATCGTTAGCCTGTTAGCGCAGCAGCTAATCTTGCTCTATGTGCAGCTAGCGATACGTTCAGCATCCAAGCAAGCGAGTTCGCTGCTGCTTTAACGCGAAGAATGGATCTCAACTAATAGAGGTAACTAAATAATGTTTTTATAAAGATGTTGTCTACACGTTTTCAAAGCAAAGAGCACCAAAACGTAGCAGGTCGCGCTGCCACCCACTATTTTACGCTATGAAGCTAGCTGACGTTTGCTAACAAGCTATGCGGATTTCGGTGTTGACTAATGCAGCACTGACTAACTAAAAAGTAACATTATATTAGCGTCCAGACATGGACGGCGTTTAAGTTTGCCCGCTGAGAAAAGCATGCGGTGAACAGAGTAGCTGGCTGAGCAGTGGTGTGCATACGAAGTCACGTCGGTAGTCCCTTGTGACATTGTAGTCAACATCTTTTAGTGATCTGGGCTTAGCTCGCTAAGCTAACCAAGCTAACTAACAATCCCACGGGCGACGGTTCCCCAGTTCTCAGGCTGGCAGATGCTGGACGTTGGCTCATAATGAAAAACTAAAGGGTTTAATCTCTGTCAAAACAAAGGCTAATGGCATGACAACTACTGTCGACAGTTTTTGGATCAGAAATCTTCAATTAGACGCTGAACAACGACAGATGTGTCCACCGTCAAAGCTGTTAAGTGTGTTAATAATGTCCTTACTATATAACAGACTGAATGTCTTGGGTTTCAGAAGTACTCACTGTTTCATGTAATAAATTCGTTATTGACCATAGTGGAGCCCCTGTCCACTTGCTGCACTTAGCCGTCGTCATGTCAGAGTGAGCTGCTTGGCTGCTTGGGTTCATTTTACTAGGGGACATGGCTTTGGTTCTAATGTTCATCCAAAAACAGAAGTGGGACACACAACACTGCTTGGCACTGGTGGACTAATGATATAATACAGTAAAAAATCCCAGGTACTACACGGTGTCGTTGACTTACGTAAAACCGTCCTTCTCTGCAATTTTGAACTCAAATTCCTGAGTTGTCCTGTTTCTTAAGTGTTTAAGCATTGATGAAGCATGAAAACACTCATGGAGATGTCACAGATGTTTTTCTACCCAGTAGCATCGTGATTTTGTGACCAAACCTCGCAAGAACGAAGACGTTAGACCTTATGAGGCTAGACATTAATTTAGGTCTGTGTATGTTGACAAAGGTTTCGTTTCACGTAGCTGCTTGTCGTTGGTTGGTTGGTTGGTTGGGTTGTTGACAGGAAGCTTTCCATTCCGGGCCCACAAGAGTTTAGGGCACACTTCGGAAAGTCTGCTAGCTACGAGTTCGCATATAGTCACCGCTAACGTTACTAGTATTAGTTAACTCTTCTTCCATGTTTTATCTCTATTAAGGTCACGTGGGTTTTTAAATAAAGTGCGTGGTTTGTATGAGTTAGTAATGTTATGAGACATTTGACAGCACTTTCCCAGTGAGCGAGCTAACTAAACTTAACTCTAGTGACAACATGACTCAGCCTGAAATATTCCGTGTTAGCCGCGCGGCTAAGTAGAAACTAGACACAATAGTATGTTTGAAAGCTTTGACTGCTTACATTTTGTTATGTACGGGCTCGGTAACTTCTAATAGACTTCTTATAAGTACTCACGAGGGCAAAGTTAGATAAGCTAACGTACATTGTGTTAGTCTTTTGTTGTCATGGTCTGAAGCGTGTTCCTTTCAGTGTTGTTCACAGAATGGCACAAGGTGTCAAAAGTTACCTCAGTTTTCTGACTACGTACTTCTTGAGTCGTGACAATATGGGTAGCTGTCTGCTTTATGTTTTATATTTTAGCGCCAGAAATCAATATACTGTCATTTCGAAAGTCTTTCCATAGAGTGTTAGCCAGAATGCTTTAGTTAAGCCTAGCATTTCTTTTCATTTCGTCAGAAATTCTGGACTCATTAGGTAACCACATGTAACACTCAGCCACTTTCAATACCAGTTTGTTTGATATTACTGAAAAAAATGTGATTACTATGTATTTAGCGGAAGTTTCTATTATTAATTGCCTTGAACAAAATGACTGACCAATATGAGATAGCATTTACTTGAACGTCTTCTTGACCTTTGCTTTTATCATGTAACTGAGACAAGGCTTTACTTTAGTAACAACGGCTACAGATTTGGGTGGTTCATGAATATTCACTCATAATGTGTTATAATAATACATTGCTAGCTCAGATTTATTTTTCCCCACTTTTTCTAACTTCTTTTGTGTTTTTTGTCAGGAGAGCATCAGTGACTAGATGAAGGAGCCGGGCCGGATCCAGAAGCAGTGGAGAACTCAACATGAAGTTGTATGTGTTCCAGGTCAACAATGGAAGCACACTGACATTTGATACCGAACTCGCAGTCCAAACGTAAGTCCTCTTTGCTAGAGACGGCATATCAGTATCGATGAGTATCTGTATCATATCTGTATCAGTCTGGCTGCTGCATACTGGACGCGCCACACCGTATAGTAGAATGCATCGCGACGAGGAGCACTGATAAACATCAAACTCAAGTTGATTTCCGCACTCTACTTGTATTTAATGGAATAGAACTTTTAAAATAATTTATTAATTCACCTTGTTTGGTATCAGCTTATTAATTAGCTATTATATATGAGGTGAAAAAGACGAGGTTAGTAACGTTAGCTGTGGTGACAGACGATTAGTGTTTGTAGGTTCATCGTAAAGACTTTAAAATTACTTCCTTTGTGGTCTAGTTCTAGATTGTATTTAACACAGTAATGGCAAAATGTTTAGTAGAAATTGAACAGTGTTGAATGTCACTGAGCACTGCTGCAGATGAACACAGAGTGTTGGTACCGGCATGTGCATCTTCATTAAAAACAGTGGTTGTGAATTTTGGATGTTGTATGGGAAATGGAAAGTTGACCATTGACATTTTCTTGGTGTTTGAAAACAGATATAACATACATATTGTAGGGGGTGTTTTATTATAGGGAATGTTTATTTTTGTTATTAAAAGTGCTCTGTAATAAGGCTGTAATTAAGGCTGATATAGGCAGGAAGTGATTTCATTTTCTGTTACATGGATGCAAGATTAATTGTTAACCAGCAAGATTAAAATCTAAGACACAACCCTTTCCAATATCAATTATGAAATGGATAGTTCCTGGAGCCCTAACACTTCGCTCTACCCCTCTATCTCAACAAAAATTGGGACACCCTACCCCTAGACGTGAATGCGTAAAAACAGAGGGCTAAGGGCTAAGGGCAAGTGGTAGGGGCAAGGGGTGAAATGGGATTGGACCTTAATATACATACACTTATGAGTGCATGAATCAATTGAATTCTGTGTTAACGCACCTGGATATTAAAAATATTCCTTGTATGGATCGTGGAATATAGAACTGGTTGGTAGGGCCAGGCATAAGCATGTATATGAAGTAAATGGCTTGGAACATACCCTACATAAGAATCTGGTTTTGTTTAAATTGATGGGCTGAGAACTGTAATATGTTCATGATAATCAAATACTAAAAAGTTGAATGTGACTGGAGTACAGTGACTCGTGTTCTATATTCTGAAGTTTTAATTTTGTATTTATCACTAATCAGTAGCCCAAGTTCAAACAAATTTAAATACCATGGCCGAAGCAGCTTTGGCTCAGTTGTTTATATGTCCGTTAACATTTATCCTCGTCAATCATTTGCGTCCCTATTCTGATATATTATGCTTCATATCAGAGTTTAGTCAAGGTCAGCTGAGTGTATTTTACATTCTGGATGTTTTTATATATACTTTTTATGCCATACGTTTAAGGTAGATGTGTTTTACAGTCGGGCACAATGTAAGTGCTTATGTGTCATTAACTTCTCTTATAGGGTTTTGGACCTTAAACATGCCATCCAAACCAAGTACAAGATTGCCACTCAGCACCAAGTGCTGGTGGTTAATGGTGGAGAGTGCATGGTGGCAGAAAGGAGAGTCTGCAGTTACAGCGCAGGCACGGTGAGTTACATGACCACACAGGGCTTCTACCCTGCTTACCCAGGGGTTATTTTGCAAGTTAGCCAGATAAAGTCAGTGTGATCAGGAAGTCATAATTTTGTATTTTGTACTTTTGTATTGTGATGTCTGACTGTCCATTATGAAATATCATCAATTTTATCAAGTAACATAAAAGTTTGTTTTCGTTGCTGTGTTTTTAGAGCTGTTGAACGCTTACAATAATTAATAATGATTCATCATTTTATTTTGTGTAATTAATTGTGATGAATCACATTAATCTAAATTAAGATTGTTCCATTTTGACAAGTAGCATATTATACAACATAACCTGAGCATAAATATCATGTGATTTCCATAGAGTGAATGCAGTTACCAGTTTTATCACAGACACCCAGTGAGTGGCTGCATGTTCCAACCAATGAGTTATCTGTCATATAATATCTTATATACATTCAGTGGTTCAAAATCTTCCCCGATTGTAGCATTTCGCTCTCACTCTCGTTCAGTGCAGTTCGTGGATACTTATTAGAGTGGAGGCTGTCAAGGGGAACTGTAACTTTCCATTTTGAATTGCTTTTATTAGTTTGCTATGGCTCACTTTTGTCAGTTTGCTAGGTGTCAAAAATCCAATTAAAAGCTATATTTGAACGAGAGGGCCACAGCCATGGATTCTGTCATAGCAACACACAGTGCGCAAACAGCTGTGTTTCAGCTTGCACTACTGGAGATGGTTTGAAGGGTGAAACTAGGAAAATGCAGGAATTGTGTTGCGTTAATAAATTTGTGGCGTTAATAAATGATGGCACATTATTAACATATTACCTTTGACAGCCCTAGCTTTCAATATTGTTTTTGTCAAAGTGTGTTCTAAGTAACTATAGCATAGCATCCAAACAGCAGTGCTATGCGAAGAAAAGAAGATCAACACAAGGCACGTCCAAGTCTGGTTTGATAATACGATTTCTTGTCTACCGTAGGACACCAATCCCATCTTTTTGTTCAACAAAGAGATGATTTTGTGTGACCGTGCACCAACAATCCCCAAAACCACCTTCTCTATTGAGAATGAGATGGAACTGAAGGTGGAGGAGTCTCTCATGATGCCTGCTGTGTTTCACACCGTTGCCTCACGGACACAACTTGCTGTGGTACTCTTTCTGAATGTTCCTAAATACTAACTGTGCTAATACTAATACTGACTTTGCATTTGCCTGTAGTTTTGGGTCTCCATTTTGCATTTTAGGGCCTCTGTATTTTATGATAATGTAATAGTAGTACCACTGTGATCTGATTAAATGTACTGATGCTTTTGCCTTTGCCTGTTTTATAGTTTAGCATTATTGAAGACTGCCATTTTTCCAAATTTTTAAAATTTAATTTCTTGGTCGGTTTCTGTTTAGTTAGTGAGCAAGTAGTATGCCAAACTGCAGCCTGAATCCTTTTCACTTTCTTTATGTTGAAACTCTAGAGGCAAAGCCCAGTAATAAACTTAATTTCCTCAGATTGTATGAACATGAAGTAATATGCTGTATGTGACATATTATTACTCTATGCACTTAATTATTCTACTCCTGTTATTCTGCACAATGAACCTTTGCTTTTACTGTGTTGCTTAGCTGCTTTTGAGATTCTGTGCACTGTGCCATAATCAGTCAAACATGGGCTTTTTAATTTAGGCCTATTACTCTCATGAAATGTTAGCTGATGATTAATTGTTATATAGATAATTGTAATTAACATTTTAATTGTTTTTGGTCATCATAAGCAACTGTGAAAATACAAGAATAAGGTGGTCAAATTGGCTGATAAGCTGTCTTGCTTCCAAACTGTCACACTTAGTAGCTCAAGTAGTAGCTCGAACCTAAACAAACATCACCACTGCCCTTTAAAGGTGTTATACCACTGTTCAGAAGGTGGAAATTTTGTAGTTTTCAACTTTTGTTGTGTCTCAGTAATTGCTCAGTAATTGCCCACCCAGTTCACATTCTGTTTGTTGTAAAACAAACATTTGATTATGACAGCCAACAACAACAGAATTAATTGTAGTAAACTCAAATAATTGTGGTCAGCCCATTATGTAATAAAGGCTTATTCTAATAAACATTTAGAAATGCCAGAAAAGGCACATGTTAAGGTGATGATGCAGTTCATTAGTGTACCACCTGTATGATGTTTCATTTGTTTTTAAGGAAATGTTTGAAGTTGCCAAGAAGCTCTGTTCATTCTGTGAACGCCTGGTCCATGACGAACACCTTCAGCATCAGGGTTGGGCCGCCATCATGGCCAACTTGGACGACTGTACATTGTCCTATCAAAAACTGCTCTGGAAATTTGATATGGCGTACACGAATTATCAACAGAATTTTGAAGATATTAAACTAAAACTCACCAAGTAAGTGCTAGTGACTGTATTTATTAGGGATGTGTCAGTACCGACACTGGTATCAGGTGTCGGCTCAATACCATGCCCATTTACTCATACTCAACTCTGCCGCACTCAAAAATATGTACTCGTACTCAGTCTGAAAAAAGTGGTATTGATGCATGCCTAGTAATTATAGTTTAAGGTTGATCCGTTGTTAAAAGCACCAGGGGGACGATTTCCTGGGATTTGAAAAGAGAAACTTTACTGACACTGCAATTTATTACTAGTCTATGCTTAATGATAGAGTAATGACAATAAACATAGTTCTGGACTTTTAGGTTGTTGTTGAGCAACCACATTGATATTTATTGCACACACAGGCTTGGAACAGCTGTTTCTGTCATGGCTAAGATCCCCTTGCTCGAGTGCCTGACCCGCCACAGTTACAGAGAGAGTCTGGAGAAGTCCAGCTCTCCACGCCCCAGAACAGAGGAGGAAGAGGATGCGGACAACGATGAAGTTGGAGGCGAAATGTCCACCCAGTCTGCCATCTTGTGCCACCCAGATGGTCAGCGCAACCCCAAATCGCCCACTTTGGTGTCTGCTTCGGGAGAGGCGGCGGCACAGGCTTTGCCACCATCCTCCCAGGATAGGCTGGAGGGTAGTCGTGGCCTGCAGGAGGCGCTAGAGGAGGAACAGGAGCAGGAGGCTATGGAGAGAGGAGCTACTCCCTCCTTTAATGTCACACTGCTGGACTGGATTAATGTGCAGGACCGGCCCAACGATGTGGAGGCTGTAGTTAGAAAGTGCTTTGACTCCATCAACCGAGTAAGTGGTGACACACTGGTTAAAAACTCACAAGTAATACTTTTAACCAGAACTCTTATTAAAAATGCTTAGCCATTAGAAGTCTAGCTTCATAGTTGTTTAGCTGTACATTCAGTTTACATTACATTGTCATTTAAATGTGATTTTTTTTTAAGTTACATAATATGAAATATTTGTGTAATTTCATATATTTATATTTGATTTTGTTTGCTCCTGCGTTAAACAGTATAGATTTACACGGCACAAAGCGAGTGTATTGTTGGGCATGTGTCACGTGCATGAAGCCTTATGAACATGTTCAGTTCTGCCAGTCACACTGCTCGATGTTTGCACATATTTTTACTTTGCAGGGCTTTTAACTCTTTGTGTCTCTCTGCTGGACAAAACAGATTTTTCCCCATCACTTAGGGTTGCCAGATTTGCGTTTTTGACAAATCTGGCCAGTTTTAAAGTGCAGTGCAAGTAAAAATGATGCTACAGTGGCGTGAAGCTTCGTTGTTCAAACTACTTTTTAAATGTACTACTATATTAATACATATGTTGTGTTTTTACAACCTGTTTCAGACGTTTACATTTGGAGACATTTTGTGTCAGTTTCAGACTGCTACAGCTCACATACGCTGGTGATTCACACACACAGCGTTTGTGCTGCTGAGTGGAGCAGCAAGAAAGTTCTATAGATGTACCTTTACCAAGTGAATAAACAGTCAAATCCGTCACATTGCTCAATAAAAATATCATTTTTTAAAAAATGCACTGTACATTTTTTACCCTGGACAGTGTTTTGACTTGTGACTGGGGAATTGTTTCAAGCCTGGTGGACCAGGACACTGTTAAGCACGATGAAGATGAATAAATCAGTTCGTAAAACTCATCCTATGGATGCTCAGTGACCTTAATGTAAAAGAAATTTACAAGCCTGGAACAAGAACTTAACAACTTAACAAGCATGGAATAGTGAGCTAAGTTTGTTGTATATAGCAAAAAATTAATATTTAAAAAAATATTATTTTCAGTATTATAATTTTTATATATTCAGTATTATTATTATTATTATATTGTTATTATTATATTTTGATATTGTGGTATCATGTTGTTATCAGAACAGTCAAAAATACAGTGATGTAAGTTCATATCGACCACCCCTAGTTTCAGTTGAAAGTTTAACAACATTGTCTGCTTGTTTCACAGAACTGTGATTGAAAAATAATTAATAAGACAAAAATGTACGAAGAATTGTTTTAAGGCCTATGTGCTGTGTGGGACACTGGAGGATTAAAAGAGTGCTTCCTCTACATGAGCCAACAGTGAATGAAAGATGTGAAAGAATAGTGGATTTTTTTCCTTTTTTATTCTTTAACATTGCAAGGATTTCTAGCGTGAATCTAGATCTAGAATCTAGATCTAAATGTAGAGAGGAGCACTGAAAACATTTTCACTTAACAGTATGTTTTTTAGCATTTATTGTTCTCTCTATATGTTCTCTGTTTATTTGTTTTTTTCTAGCTTGATCCACGCATTATTCAGCCATTTCTAGCTGACTGCCGGGACACTATTACAAAACTGGATAATCAAAACATGAAGGCCATCAAGGGGCTTGAAGATCGATTGTATGCACTTGACCAAATGATAGCCAGCTGCAAAAAGCTGGTCAACGAACAGAAGGAACTTGCTCAGGTATGACATTTTCATTAGGTTAGATGTTGTGTTGTTTGCATTGAGAAGATTTTGGTCACATCCTTCTTCATTCTGTACATGTAAACAATTTCTCTTTTTACAGTGAGGGGAAACAAGTACACAATTTGTTTTTATTGTTTAGTATACATCCAGGCCTTATATCCATTTCATATTCACACCCGTTATGTCTTTTGACTTACCTAACTCTACTTAAATATGAGCCAGAAAAACATACATTCTTAAGCATAAATACATAAATGTTTGAAAAACACTTGATAAGAGTTACAGGAGTTGCAGTCGCTTGAAAAGAGTTGCAGGATGACCTGAAAGCAGCAGGAACCACAGTTGCACCGAGAACAATAATCAGTGAACTACACTGCAGTCAAGTTTATTCCTACACCACACACAAAACACCTCTGCCAAAAATGTTTACACATATTTTTATGTCTAAAATTTGCACACAAGCATTTAGACAGCTTAGAACTCTTTTGAAACAATGTACTCTAGTCAGACGAAACAAAAATAGAACTCCTTGGCAACAATTTAGCTTGTCATTATTGGAGGAAGAAGGGTTGTACAAATTATCCCAAGAACACTACACCCACAGTAAAGTATGGAGGTAGGAACATCATGATAAGGGGCTGTTTCTGTTTAGTCATCGAAGGAAACATGAATGGAGGGATGCAATACGGGACATACTAGAGCTGATTTACTTTCATCAGCCAAGAAACTGAATCTTTTGGGAGAACATGATGTTTTAACAACCGTAAACATACAGCCAAAATAACTCTTTTCTGAAGGTGAAGGTGCTTGTATGAGTCAGCTATACTCCTGGCTTGAATTCCATTGAAAATTTATGGAGGACTTTTAAAATTCCAAGTCCATTATTGGGATCGTCATAACCCTGGGGAATTAAAGATTGCTTGTTAGAAGGGTGGGCTGAAATTAAACAACAGTGAAGCTGATTATATCTAACCACAAACATTTAGATGCTGTAATTGCCAACAGCAGCATTGCAACTAAACACTGTTCTTATTAATTTGTGCCATGTGAATACCTTGTTTCCCTGTCATTTTCGTTTTTTTAAACACATCGCCTATTCTTATGAGTACATTTTGTTATTTATAAGAGCAGGTCAAAATGTGTATGTATGTAAATTTAGAATGGATGTAAGCACTGGAAGTATATTAAATAACTAAAAAGTGTCAGAATACTTATTTTTGTCACTGTTTCTCAGAGCTTCCTATCTTATAAAGATCCAAAACATTGTTTTTCTTAATTCTGTTTGCAGTGGTGAAGCATATACATTTTTTTGCAATTAACAGTTCTTGCATATAGAGCCCCTCCTGTGAATTTTCAGTCATGTTTAGTAAACTTGGACTTTTATCAGGGAGCCATACCCCCACTGCCCAATCCAATTCCACCCACTAGTTAGGACTCCCCCAATCATGATACCACCAGAGCTATCAGGGCGAAAGCTAGCCCAGACTTCCTCCAAGAACTGTGAAGCCTGCCATCACATCTTTTTGAACTGGCGCTAACACAACATTGGACAGCTGAATGCACTCAGTGATGGGGGAGACAGGGGCCATCCTCCCCACCCAGAGAGAGTACCCCCAGCCACGGATGGCTGTAGCATCACCAGGGTTTGAACTCGCAGTCTCCTGATGTTGGGACCAATATTGCGCCGCTCTGGAGCCCCTATCCAAGTTATTTTTAACACTCTATTTATTGTTTCATAGGGATTTCTGGCCAATCAGAAGAGGGCTGAAAACCTGAAAGACACTTCGGTGCTGCCGGACCTGTGTCTGAGTCACGCCAACCAGCTGATGATCATGCTGACCAATCACAGGAAGCTGTTGGACATCAAACAGAAGTGCACCACTGCCAAACAGGAACTGGCCAACAACCTGCAAGTCCGTCTCAAGTAAGTTGAGGCTTCGGGCTTAAAAGAGACTTGATGCCACATTTTTGCCTTTGCAGCATAGATTGGGAATCTATGAAAATGAGTGATGTCCTGCAGCTGAGATATTTTCAGAAGCTAACAAAGTGGTCTAAAGGCCTGTTCACATGAAGTCTGTTTTTTGGATGAAAAAACACTTGTCAACTTTTGAAAGAAGGCCCTCATATTAATGCTGTCTTTCATGTCAAGTCCAAAACCAATGGAGTGCATCACTGCGTAAAACTTTTAACTGGATTTGGCTGGATTTTCCTCATTATACAAATGCATCAAAATCAGGCTGACCAATCAAAGCTCGATTGTCATCTTTGCAATCCAAGCAAATGTGCGATCAACAAAAAAATGTATGATTGTTCAAACAAAATCATACTTCATGTGAATAGGCCTTTAACATGTACAGTGTAGAACTATTTTAAAGGAGAAAATAAAAACTTATAATATCTGCAGTGCCGGCATTTGTATTGTGAGCAAGCAGCTGTTACACCTTGAGTCTTTTTGCTACTTACCACAATCGACATGCCACCAGAACCATGTACAAAATACAAATGTTCTGCTTCACAGGTGGCTGTACCACTTCTGATTTAAACCCAGCATTCACAATAACAACTGAAACATTAATGGTATTAATTCAGAATGTCAGATTATCTATCCAGAATGTTATGTGCATAGCATTTGTTGACATCTTAGCATATCATGCATACATTGAGTGCCTGTATTGTCTATGAAAACAAAAAGATCATATAGATATGGCTGATACTCAACAATGAAGTAGCCTGGTCAGATCAGGGGGCATTGATTGCTTTATGCGTTTGGATATATTAAGTACTAATTAGTCAACAGTGATGTCTAGTTGTATTACCTAATTTAAAGATTTATTCTCTCTGCCTAATGATTTGTAGTACAAGTGTTGTCCAGTAAATTCTTAGTGTGATTTTTAAATGGTCATTTTGAGATTTACTTTCCTGCAGAATTTAGATCCACTCTGCATCTTAAACCACCCTTGCTTTTGGAAGTAGAGAGAACAGTCATACTGACACATTAGAAACTTGTTTCCTGATTGAGGCTTTAATCATGCCGTTGGACATTGTCTGTAGATGGTGCTGTTACGTGATGCTCCACGCTGACCAGGATGGGGAGAAGCTGCAGGCCCTCCTCAGGCTGTTGACTGAGCTACTTGAGCGAGTACGCGTGGTAGAGGCCCTCAGCACTGTCCCACAGATGTACTGTCTGGCCGTGGTGGAGGTGGTCCGCAGGAAAATGTTTGTCAAACACTACAGAGAGGTGAGGTGGCAGTTATAAACATACAGTAGGGTCCCGACTTGGAGAAGTTGGTGTTGGCTTACTAATGTGTGGTAGCAGTATTTATGATGATCATAGGACAGAAAGGGAATTTTGACCAAACAGAGGAGTTTCTCAGTTTCATTGTTTAATTTCTTTGGTATTGGATATCATCCAAGAATTCTGATCTTCAATTGAATGTATGATTGTCTATTTCATAATATACAGGAGGTAGCAAGAATAGGGCATTTAGCCCAAATCCAAATCTCTATTCATGTTTACTGTTCTGTCATGTTCTTCCATTTATTCCTTTTCTGTTTTTTCATTCCTAACATTTTTTTCTCCATGATTCTGCATATTCTCAATGGGAATGTGTTGTTTGATTGTATTTCCCCAGTGGGCCAATGCCCTAGTTAAAGATGGGAAAAACCTCTATGAAGCTGAAAAGGCCAAAAGGGAAACATTTGGCAAGTTATTCAGTAAGTTGGAGCTTGCAATTTGTGTTCTCATAGAGCTACAAATCTTCAGTCAGTATGGACGTAGAACACAGGGATTCTGTTTGAAGCACTTTGTTTAGAAGTTGTCCCTTTGATCTGCGTTGCAGGAAAGTCATTCCTCAGAAATCGCTTGTTTCGAGGACTTGACTCGTGGCCTCCTTTGTCATTTTGTGTAAGTATTTGAACACAACAGTACAGAGAAAATATTATTTCTCTTTTGATTATTTCAGCGGTAATTTTAGGTGTCTGTGCTGATCATTTTGTTTCAATGGCTCTCTTATCTCTGGGAATTTCAGACTAGAAAGCCTCGCAGGTTTGACTTTGAGCTTCCAGACATCTCCCTAACTGACCTGCAGTATCTGAAGAGCTGCTGTCCTGCTGAAGTTCAGCCTTTTCTCAGGTAAAATCTGATGCTGATAGAGGGTCTAGAACTACAAGAGGGATGAAAAATTTTGTAGCGAATAAAACATTAAACATTTGTGGTACCTGTTTTTGTATGGAAATCCTAGAACAACGTCCATTTTATTTTTCGTATTTCCATATTTGTACATGTGACAGTACTAGTCATGACATTGCTTGGTGTAAAGACTTTTGAAGATGTGAAATTAGGTAACTTGTTTGTTTTTGAACTAAATATTGTTATATTGTAATTTAATTAAACATATGTTGTATGGCCACAGTTTTGGCTTGTGCATGTTAGTTTTTGGTCCTGTAATGGTAATTAATCTTTGAACAATTATGCTTTTTTTTGGTTTTCCATCAGGGTTCCATCACTGTGTGACTTTGAACCTCTAAACCACCATGTGGAGGCCCTTCACCAGCTAGTGCAAGCAGCTCAGAGTGTCGATGAGATGTCTCAAACCATCACAGACCTTCTGAGTGAACTAAAGGTACCAGCTTTTTTTTCAAGTTGCTTTTTCTGCCACTAGTATCATAACTTGTCAGTTTTAGATGCTTTTGTCATTTTACACAGTGGAATGACCACAGTGGAATGGACTGTTGAAGTCAATGAAGCTGTGCTCAACAAATTCTAATGACCATTGTAAATAAATACAAAATAATAAGATTAGAAATTTTCTCTTATGATTGAGGTGTGCTTTATTGCTGCTGATCTGTCCTTATAGGTTTCTGGGAGCCAAAGTGCTCAGAGACCCATAGCATTAACCCCCAGGTCGGAAAGCAGAACAGAGACCACGCCTACCTCCCCTAAAGTACCATCCTCCCTCACTTTGCAGTCTCCACCCTGTCAGCCACTTCCCCTTCCAGCCCCTTTAGAGGATCTATCACCTGACAGCATAGATGCCCACACATTTGACTTTGAAACCATAGGACACCCCAACATGGATCCTGTACTCCAGCAAGGTTCGTTGGACCTAGACTCCCTGGCGGAGAGCCCAGAGTCAGACTTCATGTCTGCGGTCAATGAGTTTGTTATTGAAGAGAATGTAATGTCGCCCAATCCCATCAGTGACCCTACAAGCCCTGAGATGATGGTGGAGTCTCTTTACTCCTCAGTCATTAATGCTATAGATAGCAAACGCATCCAAGACACCACCACACTGGAGAGAGAGAACTCCAGAATCACTGTCCTCAAGCTGACTGTGGACAGGTACCGTTCAGCTGCTGAGGAGTCGCAGAGTAACTTCAGGAAAATTAAGGATGACTTGTCCCACTTCCGTGGTCTTGTTTTAAAAGAGCAACGAGATTTTGGCTTTGCCTTGAAAAAGATGAGCTCTGACATGCACAGCATAGTCAACAGCATTAAATACTGTCATGAAGAGGAACTGAAAGAGATGCACCAGAATGAGCTAGAGAATCTAAGAGCAGACCACAAAAAGCAGATCCTTGATCTCAACCAGGAGCTGGAAGAGAACCGCAACATTGTGAGGGATGTTCAGCGGGCCATGCTTGAGTTGGAAGGGCTTGTGGAGCGTAAGGAGAAAGAACTGGCTCAGCTGGAGGGTGAGAGGGAGCGCTCATTGGAGGAGTTACGGAGCAGCCACCAGCAGGCTGTGCAGAAGCTGGAGAAGAAGGTCTCGGAGCAGAACGAGGTGCTCCGGGATGCGCTGCTGTCCAAAGATGCTCTTGCCAGCCAGCTGGAGAGCCTGCACGTCGAGATAGAATGTAGCCAGAAGAAAATACGGCAGGAGATGGAGAATTCCGAGAAGAACCGTCTCCAAGAGCTTGAGGCCCGACTGAGTCAGGAACACCAAGCCCTGCTGGAAACCCTGAAACAGGACAACCAGAATGCCCTGGACGCCCTGGTTCAGGAGAACCAAGCCAAACTGAAGGAACTGACAGAGTCGTACTCTGTAGAGCGAAAGGAGTGTGAGGGCCGCTTTAAAGACTATGAGGCCCGCATAGCTGAACTTGCTGACGCTCGCTGCAAGCTAGAGGTGGAGATGGCCCTGAAAGAGGCTGAGACTGAAGAGCTGCGGCTGCAGGATGAGGAGGCCAGGGCCCAGCGGGAGGAGGTGCTGAAAGCTGAGATGATGTCGCAGACATCATCCCTGCAGAAACAGGTGAACACATTGATGCAGCAGTTGCAAAAGAAGAATGAGGAGTATGAGCTGGGCCTTGCTGAACTGCGAGCGCTCATGCGGCTGGAAAAGGACCACTGCATCTCAGAGCTGGTGGACCGGCATGAGGAGGAGAGCACACTGCTCCGTCATGAGTTCTCGGTGCTCAAGCAGAAGTCACAGGACGCCGAGAAGGACCTTGAGGAGCGGCTGTTGAAGATCCAGCATGAGCAGGATGTCCAGCTTGCTGCTTTGCAGAAGGAACATGAGGAGGAGCAGAGGGCTTTCCAGGAGAAAGAGCAGGACTTGCAGACCACCATTAGTGACTTGCAGGCAGAGAATGCACTTTTGTCAGGAAGATTGGAGCATGAGAGGCAGGAGGCCCAGAGGAAAGTGGAGGAGGAGAAGGAGGCTGCTAAAGAGACATTAAACCATGCCTTAAAGGACTTTGAACTCCAGAAAGAGGAGCTTGAGGCAAGACTCTTAGGAAAAATTAAATTACTTGAAAATCAGCTTGAAGAAAGACAATCCACTGAAAAGTAAGTGAAATTAAATGTTTTATCTTGGGTCTTTTTTGAAAAGGCAATTAACTAGGGATGCACAGTGACATTAGGATCTGTCTGTTTTGGCAGATATTTGCTTACAAACAAATGTTTAGGTTTGACTGATATTTCAAATCGATATTTGATGAAGTATTTGTTGTACTCCAGCAAGGTGAGTACTTCGCTGAAGTGTCTGCATTTTATTCATCTTACTGCAACCTACTGCAATAAGCTTCCTAAGGACGTAACAAGACATCAAAAGCAGGTTGCGAATGGCAAAAATACATCAAACACAGTTAGGAGTTGTTTCATATAGGTTTTGTCAGTAGTCTTTTCCGGGCCATCTGAAGCACCCTGCAAATGTCATACACTACAGTTAACCATCAGGTCCTGGATACCATAAATAAAGATTACAAAATAGAACTAAAAAATAAAAACTAACAGCTTGGCAATGGGGACACCTCTGACGTATTGATTTTCAGTTTTACAATATTTTTAGCAATATCAGAGTGTGTCAATGTCATAGTATACTGTAAAACCAAGAATATTACCCACAATACAGTGTAATTTATTTTTTGGCATTTTATTTATTATAATTTGTTTTATTTTTTTATGTTTGTAAACAAACAGATTTCTTTTTTTAACTAAACAAATTAACACATACTAAGGCTAGGCAATATATTTACAATTCAATATGGCAGTATTTTCTAAGTATATCACATTATTGTGCCTCCTGAGTATTGCTACAGTATGCTAAAGCAATGTTATACAGACTTGATATGGATACAGTAGTTCTGATTTTCTTCCATTTTTTTTTCCTCTTAAAATTACACCAATGGGAAATGTACACCATTTTTAAAACTGATTTTAAACTGTTCTTTCAAAATCATTTATCAACCAGCAAGTGACATACCCTGCACTTAACTGTCAGGTCCTATACGCCATGAATAAAGTGCACAAAATAGAAGCAGTATGTATATAACAGTACAACAACATAGATGATAGATTCCATTAGCATGAATTCTAACAGTTTAAAATCAGTGCAGCTCAGTTGCCACCTTCAGACTGATGAATCGCAATGCCTTGGTGTATTTCTACACCCCTACATGACAGCACAAAGACTGGCAGAAAAGTATGTTTTACGGATATTCAGGCCTGCAGAATTAGTACTCTGGTCCAGTACTCTGGAGTGATGTTTCAGCATCGTAGATATAATGGCCTTAAAAATGATAAAGCATCACTCCTGGCTATACTATTTTGAATGAAAAACCTCCTCATGTAGTGGCTGTCCTTTTGTGTTGGTCTAGGGCCAGCTCCTCTTAGTGAAATCTCAATTTTTACAATCAAAAGTCAAATTAGAGCTCTCAGATCAGTATACAAAGCCTTCTTCTAGCAGTGTCACTCAACACACCTGGCTGTGGCATTGCAGAGTGGTAACAGCAGGTGGGCAGGGTGAGGTGATGCTGGAAGCAGATCTGGACAACACCTTGCAGCAGAGACTGGAGGAAGAGAGAGCTTCACTCTTGGCCAAGCTGGAGCTGTTGGAGAAGAAGAAGAATGAGGAGCTGCAGAACTTAAAAACGTCCCTAATAGCTGAGCAGCAGGTAGGAGTTTCGTCCCAAGTCAGTTGGATTGTTGATTTAAATACGATTTGCATATATTGCATGGATTGCATGTTTTATATTCAGTGCCAACTGTTGATTTGTGTGTTCCAGTGTACACATTATACTTGTGAACTAGTGAACTTGGGTTTCAGAAAGAGGCTAAAAAATTAGTCATTATTATTTTTATTACTAGTATTTAGATGACCACTAAGCAGTTTAAATAAACAAGTTCTTCTGCTGTTGATGAATAGAACTTCACATCTATGACACACTGTGGCCTTATTTTTGTAGCAATCCATATACCAGAAACCTGATACACCTCATTAGGCGTGATCTTTCTGAGCTGAATATGTTAGAGGAGGGAAAGCATGAAACTGTGTATTACAAGAGATGCCCCAGAAAAAGTGATGTTAATACAGAAATGGTTTCATATTTGATAGTAGGCTTGTTTTACTTTAGTTAGAATGTTTGCAGGAATAAAATATTGAAGGTGGAATATATTACTGTGACTCTGTTTTTCTTCCCCCATCTCCAGACAAATTTCAACACTGTACTCACACGTGAAAAGCTGAAAAAGGAGCAGATCATTAACGAACTGAGTGAGAAGCTAAAGGAAGTGACGTTACAGCAGGAGAAGGACAAAAGTAAGACCGTTTAAGTATGTCTGTTTGAAATTTTGTATGTAATGTGACACGATTAACATGAAATCAGTGTCACAGAACTAAGTGTACATCAGATATTGCAGAAATTAATACAGTATAATGTGATGTTTGGAGTTTAAAAATAGTCTCCATACGTTGATATTTTATCATTTAATTATGAATATTTGAATGCAGGAGTGGAAAGAGTACTGAAAATTCCTACTTGAGTAAGAGTACTGTTGCAGCAGTGATAATTTATTTACAGTACGGGTAAAAGTATTAATAAAGGAAATTACTGAAGTAAGACTAAAAAAGTTATTTATTGAAAAGCAGTTGAGTCATTACTTTTCTGAATATCCACAGTCTTATTTTTGAAGACATTTCAAATCTAAAGTCAAACATAATATTACAAGGGGCAAAACAATGTTTTCTTGAGACTGATCACAGTATGCTCTGCTAATGCACTTTTACACATCTTTTTGTGTACTGTGTAAGGCACAACATTTGTACTAAGTTATATGCATTTCATGGTTAGATTGTTATAACACATCCTAGTTGTTCTGTTTTCAAAGTACTTGTAATTGAGTCTATTTTTGGCTTGGTATTAAAAAAAATCAGATTACCTGATTAAGAGTCAAAATAACAGGTAGGTTACTCAATTCCTAGCAGTTATTAGTGACAGGACTGGAGCCCATTAGCTCCTTTAACTTGCATTAAAGTTGCACTATGTAAATTTTTTTCTGTAAAAATAGAAGGATGTAGCAAAAAAAAAAAAACACTCTAAAATATGGTGTCCATGCGCTGTTGCGAGTCACCCTATGAAGCCTGAAATGGTAATTTAAAAGTCAGAGGCGGCAAGTTGGATTTTTCAAATATTAACGTCACACATACAGGCTCAAAAAAAGCTTCGCTTGGTATATAGGTTTCAAAGGCAAAATTAACATTATACTGATGAAGACAATAGAATGACAATAGAAATTCATTCACTTACATCCTTGAAACGCTTCTCTTTGAATACTCTTTAAACACACTTCTGATTGTCAGATTCATCCACTCAGGGGAGGGGTCCAAAGCACAGCGTTCTTTGGCAGCACGCTTCATGCATTTGCTGGATTCCCTCTGCAGGTTTGATCGAGACTCTCTCTGAGGACCGTGCCTCCATCCTCCAAGAGAAAAAACAGCTAGAGGAGGAGCTCAACCGCCTCCGATGCACCGCCCTTGTCTCCTCCACCTTTGTTGTGCCCAGCCCTGTCCCTGCTGTTGCAGAGGTTCCTGGTGCCTGCGGTCCCTCTCCTGTAGAAGCCCCCGCTCTGCCTGCGCTGGATTCTGAAAGACTGGTATCAGTGGCTACGCTCCGAGATGATGACAGAGTCGACTCTGCTGTAGAGGCCAGCATGATGACCGTGCAGTAAGCGTGTGCTTTAAACAACATACACACAAAAGCTTTACATGCACACAATAAAGGCCAATGGAATTACGTACAATATAAACGTATTATGCATGTGGGTAGTGTTGTTTTAACATCATCCACATATTGGTGTATTTTTTCACTAAATGTAATGTCTAGTTACAGTGATTGTCAAGATTATCAGACTCAAAATCCTGATCTATAATATGCAAATCACCAATTAAACATGTAAACATTAACATTTCATTTTTATCTAAAACTAAAAATAAAAAAAACAAAGCTGTTCATTGCAATCTGCCACCAGAGAAGTTGTGGTATGGACACGTGCCTTTTGGCAACGGTAAAATAATTTTACCAATTTCAGCATGCAGAACCAGAGCCTTCTATGTGTTACCTTGTTTCCTGTCACTTCTATTATTATCGAAGATGAACAAGGCTTCATTTCTTGTTGGAGGCAGTGTGTTTTTTCTGAGCAAGCATGTGAGCGCATTCAGACTGAAGCCATATTATTGATCTTTTTAATCAGAGTAATGTCTAAACAGATGTGTGTAAATAGATTATGCTGTGTTCACATGTTTGCGTTAAAAAAAACTGTCATTCCGCATCTCATAGCGGTACATGGCTGATAGTGGCATTAAGCCACAGAAAAATTGATGTAGTGACCACGGTGCTGGTGTTGATCACTTTCCAAAAAATCAACATCCAGTTTATTTCACTCTTGCGAATGATGGCAAAAGTTGGAAACATTGAACTGTTGATGGATTGACAGTATATTGCCGCTTGTAGTGGCAGCATTTTCCATTGTGGCTCCACTGAAAACAGTGGATTCTCTGGTTTGCCATCATCCACCTATGGCCTACATTTGAACACAGCATTACAGTTGGGCGGTATTCAATTGTTTCATACCGATGCTAACCATCTCCAAATATTAATGCATTGTATGTTGTTACCATGGGGGTGTAAAAGCATCATAAGTGAAGCACCAAAACCATTTATGGTGCTTTTGTACAATCTTGTACATTTGAAAATCAAAATTGATGAAAAAGTTTTGTTTGCAAGTGAATGCACTCAAACCATCATTCAATACATGTCAAACCATCCATCTAGCAATTGCTAAAAGTTAAACAGTGCTGCTGACTAGAAGTCATATTTAGTTGTTTTTCATTTTTCAGCTTTTTTGGGTCACCTTCTTAACATATTAAATAAACACAACACAACATACAGAAATACGCTATTAATGGAAAAGAGTAGGTAAAATGACAACAATAGCCGCTTTTTTCATCGCCCTTAAAAGGTTAACGCTTGTCATCTTAAAATCATTCATTTTGCAACTGTCTTTAAACAAAAATGTGTGCAAAATACACTTTTTAAGTTGAATATGAAGGATGTAATATGTCTTGGCAATGTTTTGGCAAGACAATGATCTGAAAGAGTGAAAGACACCAGTTGCTATATAATATATATATATATATATATATATATATATATATATATATATATATATAATTTTAAATGATTTAAAATGTTTTCAAATACAATTATTATTCTGTCTTTGGAGAAACATCATATTTTGTCATTGCAAATTGATAAGTCTCCCAAGTTAATACCGACTCTTAGACAATTCAGATAGAAAGATGTAAAACTGGTCGTAAAGAGCTTAGCATTGCGAGCTATAGGAGGCCTTTGGGCCAGACTGTGGATCATCAGAAGATCAGAGAGAGAGAGATCAGACACATTATCGAAGAGAGGGAGATGCAGAGAGAGGCAGTGTTTGAAGAGTAAGTGCAACATTTCATTTCTGAACTATGTAGGCGTTTCCATTTTAGATAGGAAGTTAGCTAGTTACATATTGATGACCAAAGTATGAAACAGCTTTAGGTCCCATTTAAGGTACAGGTATTATTTAAAATTCTCTTTTCAAATGCATCTTCAGTCTGTATATGCTTTTTAATCCTAAGATATACTAACTTAAGTGTAGTACATTAATGATAATGTTATATTTAGCAGAAATTCTGAGATTTAGAAAGTTTTGATCAATTTACACTCTGAATTGATCTAAAAACTCATAAATCACTGTTTTAATTCTGTTGTAGTGACAACACATTGATGCTGTCAGAAGAGAAGCAGCGGATACTAATACTGGAAAGGGTAAGTAAATATTGCAAACATTGTGTTCTTTTTTTTCTTTTTTTTTTAATCAAAATGCACACCACCCATCATACTCTATAGATGGTACATAAGCAAATAGTCTTTCGGATTGGTTAATTTCAGTTGTGTGATTCTGTTACAGACATTGCACATGAAGGAAGAGGAAAACAAGAGGCTCAGCCAAAGACTAGTATGTATTTCATCTCAGCCTACAGTAATCACTCAGTTGAACCTGGTATTTCCACAGTTTTTTGAAAATAAATATAAAAACGTGGAGTTGGGGTAGTGTAGTGGGTAACACCTCTGCCTTCTACGCTGTAGACTGGGGTTCAATCCCCTGTCTGGGCAAGAACCCTACATTGAAAAAAAAGTGTAGTTTTTTTAATTTTTTATTTTTTTTGCTATAAATCACTGTCAGAATACTAAAATTCCTGTCCAAACAATATCTGTTAATGTCTGAGACAAAAGAGAGAGTATTCTTAGTGATTGTTGCTTTACCATTTGACTCTAATATCGTATAATTCTTATCAGGAATTCAAACTAATATTTGGTAAAACTGATTTTAAATCTCTGATTGGTTATAATTTTCGGTAACACTTCACTGTAGGAGACATTTATAAGGCTGCATGACGGTTACATAATGCTTTCATGACAACTGACATAAACCAACAGAAGCCTACATAAAGATTTGTAAAGGCTTATTCCAATAAGCAACAGTTGTCTTAAAGGCTGCTTTTGTCAACCTCAGTGTCAAGTTGACATAACACCTAGGTCAAGTGACAGGTTTTTGTTGACATTAGGTTGTGTCATAACATTTTGGGGTGAAATGACATAGTATGTCATGACGGCTGGCCTTTTTAGTGGCATTGTGTCCATTTAACAGTTCGTCCTCTGTTTCTAATGGTGTCTATTTCACGTGCAATTCTTAAATTAATTAATACTGGACACTTTAATCCTGACCAGATTTCTAACCTGAGTTATTCCCAAAGATGTCAGTAAATAGCCTGAATCCACCCTACATCAAGGTAGTTTGTCAGTGAGAATTGAGAGACAGGAAACACATGACTCCATGAAGCAGGTGTTCTGATTGCCAAAATGTTGATTGCACAATGAAGATTACACAAACAGCTCATTTAACTTAAGAGCCAAATAAAATAAAATATACACATTTCAGTGTTTTGGCATTGCCATTAGGATTCATAACATGGTATAAACAGTTAAATTGAACTCAGTTTACTTAAGGTTCAGAGAAAACATACATAATTTTGTCAGTACAGTGTCATAGCATTACCACAGGGCTTTATAAAAATCTTGTAAGCATAAAGCATTTGTCATATTAGAGAATCAGTATCAAAGTGTCAAAGTGCATTTCAGAAGTACTCACCTTTTTTTAATTTTGCAACCAACCTCACTTGTCAAGTTGTGTAACATAATCACAGTTATGTGTTTGACCGAAAATACACTGAGCTACAAAGTCAGCTGTCATAAAATGCTGGATCATTTCTCCAACCTAATATTAGCAAAAATCTGTGTTACTTGATGCCGTTGGTATGTCAGCTTGACACTAACATTGACAAAAGCAGCCTTTTCGACAACTGCTACTTATAAGACTAGGCCTTTATAAATGTTTATGTAGGTTTGTCATTTGTCATGAAAAGCTTATGTAATTGTCATGTAGCCTTATGAACTTGAACTTCAGCAAAGTGTTAGCGAAATGCACTTGTCACCCAATTCAACACATTGATAAGAAATAAACTAATAAATTGGGTGACTCAGACGACTGCATTAGTTTGTCTGCAGTTGTTTGTCTGTAGAGAGCGGCAGTTGTTTGGTTGGCAAACAGCACATTATCAGCTGTTAATTAAACACGAGTCTCTTTAATTTGATTGAATTACCTTTCCCACAGGACCGTTCCTACAAACAGGGTTAATCTTTTAATGACCGTCATAACGCACAGTTGTACTGAGAGCAAGACCCAGTGGGATGTTCTCTACATTAGCTGCTAGGGCTGTAACAAGCTCAGACGAGAAGTAATATAAGAACTCTTGTAATTTTGCTTGATCATGCATGTTACTCTGTGGGGGAAAATGTGTAGTCTGTAGTCACTGGTGGTCAGGTTGTGACTTATTGCAAGTATTGATTTAAGCTCACTTCTAGCTTAACTGTATGGAACTGGTTTAATACAAACTGAATTAGAAGTATTGACATTTCTCGACTCTTTAAAAGAAATAAACCTCATCATTAATTTTCTCTCAGACCCACCAAAATGGCCTTATCTAATAGGGATATTTCTGACTATGGGCTAAGCAAAGCGAAAATTGCAGTCTGGCCTGTGTTGTGTTTTCACCATTTTGTCATGCCCTCAGTAGCACTTGCAAGTTGTCATAACAGGCTATTAGAGTTGTGCAGCTTGTTACCACTAGGTGGCAGAATAATCTAAAAAGTTTGGAGTCCTCACCGAAGGATCATTGTGTCAAACAGATAAAATCCATCCAAGCTGGTAGTTGTTTGAATCATAAAATACTGTGGGGTAAGACATGTTCTTCAGGTTTTAACGTCACATATCTCAGTAATAAACGTGATATTTCAGTAGGTGCTTGTGCATGTTAATTTTAGTATTAATGCATATCTATTTTGTTTTGCTCTTAAAAATACAAAGTGCTGTAAGTTCAAATTGTGCATTTCTGAAGCAGTATGAAACAAAAGGTGAAAATAGTGAAACAGAATGAACAGTTGGGTGCACACATTTCAGGATTGCCCCTCACAGCAGCAAAAGAAGATTTTAAGGTGTCAAGAGAGACAAGACCAAAATAGCTTCCAGATAAAGAATGGTACAAGAGTGATAAACTATACAATTCGTTTAAAAGAAGTAAAACCACTGACAGTAGCCCACAAGTCCACTACAAATCTACAAACAGAAATGACCGCCATTCAGAAACCCAAGGAGTGTATTAGAAAACACAACTGGTGGAAAGACTACATAATTTAGTAGTAATTAGTAATTTGTTAATTATAGTAATGGAACAAAATATTTTCAGATGAGTTTGTGATAGAAGAAAAAAGGAAAAGGCATTTTCTATAGCACTTTATTGCAATTTTTTTTGTTTGGTTTACTCGTTATATATGACAATTGCAGCGATTTTGTGTGAGATGTTATGTATTTGCTCAGTGATTAACATGGTAAAGAAAACTCCATGTTGTGTCTTGTGTCATTTGCTGAATAATTTGTCTTCATCTCCTGTTTAGATGTCACAGAGTATGTCCTCTGTGTCCTCGAGACATTCAGAGAAAATTGCTATTCGAGAGTAAGCATTTCTCAGTACATTTATTTTTTGTTTGTTTATCTATTTATCGCATGAATTATCATTACAAGACTTTTTTTTGTCCTTCAGTTTTCAGGTTGGCGATTTGGTCCTCATAATTCTAGATGAGAGGCATGATAATTATGTACTCTTCACGGTCGGACCCACCCTCTACTTCCTGCACTCGGAGTCGCTCACTGCTCTGGACCTCAAGCCAGGTCTGTCTCGCTAAACGCACTCTGACTCTCAAATGCCTTATTACAGGAGTTTAATCTTCTGTAATCAGTGTCAGTGAATGTGAATAGATGAAAATACACACATACATGTGTGTGTATGTATATGTATATATGTATGTGTGTGTGTATGTAATATATATATATATATTATATATATATATATATATGTATATATATATATATATATGTTATGTATATATATATATATATATATATCTAATAAATGCAATGTTGGGGTTTTAGAAAAATTATTGATGTTTGGTTCTTAACTTCAGCCGTTGCATGTATCATTTCTAATTCATTAGTGGCACATCTGATTATCTGATTTAATATAATGAAGGATTGATTAGTTGAAGCAGGTGTTGGATGAGAACTGTAAATACTGTAAAGTTTTTTTGAAAGAGAGCTTTTTTTCTAAACAAATAAATGCATACTACCAAGATGGCTTTACATTTTCTCTGTTTCCTAAGGCTTTTATACTGTATTGTATATGTACTGTACACCATTCATTTTTATGAAAAAAATGTTATTTTGTTCTGTTCTAGTAACAGGGGCTACGAGGCGGCCGTGGGTTTTGGGGAAGGTCATGGAGAAGGAATATTGCCAGGCAAAAAAGGTGATTGATTAATGTTATTGATCATTTTTGACAAATGAATTCTGTTATCAGACATAACATTAATGATTTGAATTCATTCCTGATTCTTTAAAAGTATTTTTTAAAAAGCTGATAAGTAAGATGGAAATCGCACCCTGAGGGCTTAAGTACCGTTATTAACAGCAATTACAGCTATTAAATTGTGTGTATGCATCTATGTTTGTGTGTGTGTGCTTTTTTCCTCCAGGCCCAAAACCGGTTCAAAGTTCCTCTGGGCACCAAATTCTACCGAGTAAAAGCCGTGCCATGGAATAAGAAAGTGTAAAATTGTAATATCACTATGTAACAAGCTAGAATGTTTATATTGCTTTTTGCAGAGATCTCACATGATTCATTTTCTTATCATTGAACGAACAGAAGACAAACTTATCATTTTTCCCTTTTTCTTTTTCTTTTTTTCCTTTTTTTTGGCTCTCTTTGCAACCCATGTTTTCCTCTCTTTATTCAGAGGGTTTGTAAATGTGGACCAAATGATATTACTTTATTGGGGCATGCCCTGCACATATTGGCTCCCAAGCCATTGTAACAAGTCTGTAAAATGAACAAAAAGGTTTTTGGATGTTATATATTAGTTCATCATTGTTATTGACATTTTGTCCAGTTTGTGGGGGAAAAACACAATGCATCATTATCAAATTACTTACTTCACAAGGGTCTAAAAACTATACATACATTTATTGTAAATGTTTATGGGGGAACGTTCATGGCATGCATATAGCTATATTTTCTTTAACTCTCTGGATGTGTGTTGTAGTTGGATATGTAGGTTTAAAAAATGCCAGTTGTCACACAACAACGCAATATGGCCCTCCTGTCGTTAATAAAATGTACATTTGGACAGCACGGATGATTCTGGGCCTGGCGATCTTTAAAATGCACTTTCACAGACGCATTGCTTTCGTTGATCCAAAAGGGAAGCGGTGGTGCTGCTGGAAAACGAGCAGGAAATGAAAAGTAAGAAGCAGCACATATCTTCCCACTATTACTGAACGTTGACATGTAGAAAGAAATACTTCCTGTTTGTTGATGTGTGTCCTTATTGTATTAAATCATGACATTGTATATTATTCATTACATCACGCAAGTAACAAAAATGACTGTATTGTTAAAGAGTTTAGAGTTTTCAAACAATAAAGGTTTGATCCCACATGTCTCTGGGTGAACTCTTCTTGCTCCGTGTAACATTTTAATAACTGAGGTAGGTAGAAAGAAAGGATGGTTTGGAAGAAAGAAAGAGCCTTTAAGCTGTGCCATTAGGGTATTTAATAGAATATTATAATGGCTGGCTGGGCCTGGTCTAGGGTCTGTGCTGTGAAACTTGGTTATTAAAGTTAAATTATGTGAAAACTGATTGATGTTAACTAACTATATACATCTGTACAAGTTTACCAGGTGAAAACACAAGGGTCAGTCTGCCAAGAAGTCTGAAATGGCCTTGCTGTACACACAAATCCACTGCGAGGAACATGAAAAACATGAAACTTTCAAAAACACAAGACAGAATTGATTGTCTTGATTCTGGGTCCAGTAGAGAAATATGAATGAACATAATATGGCAGATATAAAAGATACACTCCAGCTACTGTTTAAGTGCAAGTTGATAAAATTGCAGTTATGTAATTGATTGTAAGCAGCTTAAATGTTATGAGTTAGGTAATCCGAATATTTTTGTGCAGCTAGTTTTTCATCTGTTCTGTAGAAGCAAAGTTAAATATATGGGCATATCTAAAGTTAGCAGAACTATCATCCTGTTAATTTCAGAGACAGTTTACAAGACAAACAGTTTACCATTTGTAATGCAGAGTATTAAAGTGTACTCTAGATCTCTCCCTTCCACAGTCAGATGATCAGTTTTTATTTTGACCATGCCTTTCCCCTCCCAGGTTGTTAAAGTTGTTAAAGGCCCTGGTACTGAGCCTTGATGGAAGTTGACAGATCATTATTTGGCTTGATTTCTAGTTGTTCATTTGGATATCAGAAATAATATGAATTCTGTAAATTCAGTGAAACGGCTGACGAGGGGTGGATGAGTCTGCCTAGAGTCAAAATGGTGCTCAGCTCAGGAGGTTTGCTGTTCCCAATTTTTTATTACAGCATAATACAATTAGTATGTTTCTCTGTGAAACCTGAACCTTGCCCTCAGCTCAAGACAATGCAGTGAAGCTGAAAAATATTTTAGTAAGGAATTCTTACAAGAGGCTTAAAGCTTTTTGTAGAAAGAACGGAACTAGAACAATAAGATTTTCAGTATCTGCTTCTGCAAACCTAGAACATACCCCAAAGTCGGTCTCTAATTATATGCAAATGCCAGTACTGCTATGATGACAAGTACTTGTTTACATAAGTTTTGTAATCATCGGCTATTGATGCTCTTGAGTCATTGGCACCACTTTCAGCCAGGCAAAATAGAAGATTCTCAAGGAATTATGCCTCTATTGTGTCAAAATAAACTAATGAATATCAAACCAGTCCATACATGTCAGAAATTAATGGGATCTGGTTTTCTCTCCCGCCATTGTTTATCGCATTATATAACATGTTCCTTCTAAAATTAAACTCTGGCAAGAGGGAAAGGCGCCGCAATATCTGTGCAGAGGTAATGTGGTTGAGGGAATTATTCTCAATGTGCCCAAGTTAGACATGTCTTTTATTCATGTTCTGCCCTCATCCGAACAGTGGCTTTTGTAGGAGCATTAGCTACTGTGATACGGCAGTGTCGCAGTGTTGGCATGCCTCTTGGAGGCAGCAGACTTCAAAAGGGCTTCAGTCAGGGGCCCGGCGATGGTATTGCCCTCATGGAAGAGCAAGGCGCACCAACATCACTTTCCCAGTTCACAGCAGGGAGCCTAGCAGCTCTCCGCCGAGCCTTCGGTACCATGTGGGCCTAGGGGTGTTTCAGCAATGTTTTGCCTTATTTTCTCCATTTAGCATAAGTCGGCTGTCACATTTGGATGGCATTTTCAGAAATTCGCTGGTGTGATTCGTAGAATCTCGGGACAGGCCTGACTGAGTAAATATGTGATGCTGAGGTTGCTGGCGAAGCAGAAGCATGTGCAATGGACAGGCCCGGGAGTGTAAATGTTTACAGCCCCCCACTGTGCCTCTGGGACGTTGAGACGATGGGCAAAATGGAATTGGGCGACGCCGTGTTCCTTCCCTCCAAACGGTGTTTGCTTCACCAAAAAGCAAATAATACATCAAGATGATGCTCAGCAGCACAATCTGATGTGTGTCAAAAATGTATATGGGAAAATAATTTTTCAAAAATCAAGTGCGATTAAAGTAAAAGTGTTACATTTTTATACATTTTAATTTTAAAAGTATGTTTCGGGAAAAGTTAAATATTGCTTACTAAAAAGTGACCCCCAGAATAATGTTATTAATAATGCTGTTAGCCTACAAAAATAGATTGACTTAACATTTAAAGTAGTTTTATATATATATATATATATATATATATATATATATATATATATATAACCCTCTAAAATTTTAATTATACTGAGACATGCATTTTTGGCCATATTACTTAAGGACTGCAATAGTCCACTAATACCACTACTGTGGTGATAGAGTCAGATACTTGACAAGACATCCACAAGATATCAGTATTGACGTAAAAGGTAGATAATTGCGTGTATGGACAAGTCATAGTCAAAGTATTTATAAGATCCTTGAACCTAATTTCTCAGATTTTGTCTTCTACGTCTAGCCATGTTTAAAACCACACAAATAACATAACAGAGAAAATATTGCCCTATTGATAAGAGATAATAGAGATGAAGGAATAAATGAAAATGAATGAACTTGATATAGCAGGCAATCAACATTGAAAAACTGGAGGTAATGCATATACTATAAGAGTGCTGTGCATCAAGAAGTAAATCTACTTAAATCCATCAAATGTAGCTCATTGTGTCAGAAAATTGGGCAAGGGATTGTGACTCTGGAATAAACAACCTTTGAAAAGATGTTTCAATGCTACACACATACACAAAGATCATCAAACAGACATGCTTCACTGTTCTCCTTCACACCTGTGATCAGGAAGAAAAATAATATATCGCTCAGTTAATAGACGGATAAGAACTAATATGGTATTTATTTTGATATTGTTTGATCTTATGTGATATTCAGTTGTGTCAAACTGTGAAAAAGCTGCAGAAAAGCACCTTTTCTGCACCTTTGAGCTGTTTGAGATGACATTCCTATTTAAGATGCACATGGGAAATCCAAATCCACATACAGTATATCTATCCAAACATCATTTCAGGTTTTCCTCAGTTGCTTAAATACAATTGTCATAATATTTCCTAATGGTTTAAAACAGTCATTGAAACCCTATAGGAGCAGTGCATTCAGCAAAATACAATATACATTTTCATTCCTTGCACACAAAGCCTATTTGTCAAGTCCCGTGCCAATTTGTGTGCAGTTCTGCTAAGCTGACACACACTTGCCCTGAAGTCAATCTGCCTATGAGCAAAATCATCCTTTTAGTCAAAGCTGAAAATAAGAATTTCACATGCTTTCCACTTTCATAATTGGACGTAATGGTCATAATTCGAAATTGTGTTGCAAAAATTATGGTTAAATTAAAACAGTACAATTTAATTAAGCTGTAACTCACATGCACATGTGTAATGTGGGTAGGAAAAGTAAAATGACTTTAAGCTACAAACAAAATGCTGCTTATATTTTGCTATTGGTTTTTAACTTAACAATGTGTGTAGCACTTACTGACTTATTATTTGCTTTTAGAAGCTTTGGAAGTTCTTTGTCTTGGAAGGAATGTAGGTGTTTTGGAGGCACAGCGTTTTAGGAAAAGAAATGCTGGTCTGAATGAACTATTTTGAAAAAAGTAAACTATAGCAATTGAAAAAATTTACAGAATTTTGTTAAGGTTGCCTTGTTTTGTCTCCATATATCTTCATAGTAAAAGTCTCTTAAAAATCAGAAGAAATTCATGATCCAAATCTCCAGGCTTCTATTCTTCTTTATATTAGTGATAGGGCAGCAAGCAGTTATGCATGATTTACCAATATGATTCACGCCAATTTTTGTGAATTTTCATGACACGTGCTGGTGATGAATTATTCAGAATATTTGGGAATACAAGCCTAATAACATATCATTAATGCCACAAGAGGTAAAGAGATAAGGTCGCCTATTAAATTTAAGACGGACTACGTTTGTATGCGTTCATAAAATAATGAAATATCAAATTTCTGTTAATTTTTTTTAAACGACTTTCCTGCTAATGGTGTTTTTTGCCTGATCAGGACTCGCGGCGTTTTGCAGAGGAAGGAAGAGATCACTGCATGTGTGTGGCAAACGCTGGCGGCCAAACTGACAGACCGTAGGACATGGCATGATGTTGGGTTCCATGGAAGAAAACTCAATGCATATTCACACCATGACAGTTGTTGCGGTTGCCCAAACTCACAAGGAGAAAAGAGGCCTTTATTTTGGGTGACAACCAAATAGGTGCTTTATATGCTTTTATTTCAGTACATTTTGGGCTCTTGGAAATGTTCTTTATTCTGTATTCTACACTGAAGCAGCACAAATTCTTTATGTAATCTCTAATCTTTTTTTTTTCAACCATTTTCCCTATCTCGAATCCAGACCTCTCAGAAAACATCCAAAGAGTGTCCCGCGAAACCTAAAAATTAATTCCAACCCGATGAAAAACAAGCGCTTTTGCACCTTAAAAATAAATTTCAACGCAAAGCGAAAAAAAGGGAAAATTTAGAGCAGGCTGCTTGAAAAAAAAAGAAAACCCTCCTCTCTGAAAGATTTCTTGTTTTATTTCCCATAATCTCCCGCTACTCTGTGACAAGTTATAGATAATCACTCCAAATAGTTGAAGAGTCTGAAAATAGCTGGCGATTCAAAATGGAGCCTAACAGCCCAGCATTTCCCAGCTGCACGCCTGTGCCGAAGGAATGACACCGGCTTTGATGGGCTCTATAGCTTTTTGAGATGAGCCTCTTTATGCCGCGTGCAGTTCCATTATGGCTTTGTTGGAAAGCTTGTTTACCTGCTGATAACATACACTGGTGGATTGAGGAGCAGCGATCCAAAACACGCTGCCAGAGTCACTCAAGTCTCATTGTATGGCAGGAGGAGAAGAATGCTCTGTTTATGCGAGGGGGGGGGT